GCGCCCCCCCCCCCCCGCCCCCCCCGCCTGCCTGCCCCGGCTCGGGCTGCTGCTGCTGCTGCTCCTGCTCCTCCTCGCCGCCTCGCCCCGCGGGGCCGCCGGTGGGTATCGCGCCCGGGCCGGGGGAGGGGGGGCCCTCGTCCCGGTGATTCCCCACGCAACGTTGAGGGGATAATTAATAATGTGATAGTAATAATCATGATGATAGTAATAATCATCATCATAGTCATGTCGATAATTGTCATTATTAATGGCTCCCCTTTTCCGCCCTGCCTTGCCTCCGCTCCTTCCTTGGGACACGTCTGCAGGGGGGATGCGACTGAACCCCGGGGGTGCCCTGGGGTGAACCCAGCCTGTGCTGGGGGTGTTGTTGAAGCAGCCTTCAGCTGGCACAGGGAGGGGTGGATGCAGTTATTTTCTAGATGCCATCCATATATATTCTCTTTATATATTTAAAACACACACACACACGTATGTGTCTGTGCTTATGTACACGCATACACACATGTATGTGTGGATATATTTCTCCAGTTTTTTTCAACCTGGGGAATCCAGTGAGCAACATATACCTATATATCACCATACATATCGCTCAGGGAATTCCGCAGCTTGAAAAGAAATGGGGGAGCAAAAGGAGTTTCCAGAGGAAAAACCCTTGCCCAGAGGGGAAGGGCTCCTCCAGATCATGCTCCCCGTTAAAAGACTAAGGGGGGGAAATTGGCCATTATGTAAAAGGAACCTATTAACATTCACTGCACATGGACTCGGGATTCGAGTTGTCTCAGGAACCCGGGGAGGGTTCCCAGCAGTTTCTGGCGGATTGTACGCAGAGCGCGTTCCAGCTGTGTGTGCGTGTGCGGCCAGCAAAGAGAAGCGTAGGGAAGGATTGCATGTCCATTAAGAGATTTTTCTTTCTTCCCCTTGAAGGTCGAAAAGTTTTAAATATTTAATATCTGCGATTGCACGGGGAAATGCACATGAATGTAGATGCAGTGAGACTGCCGGAAAACATTTGAAATGTAAAAATAAAGATGGTCTCTTAGCGATTGAGCTGTTTTTTTCTGATTAAGTGAATGATACATTGGGATACAGCAAAATAAATCTTTCACATCATCATATGGAAATTCTGTTCTTTAATTTATGTCTGGCATATCTTTCTTCCTCAGACCTGCATTGGAATGAAACTGTAGGAGGTACAGAGGGAGTACTGTTGGATGAAGAGAATATATTTCAACAAAATAACAGCAATAGCAGTAAAAATAACAGCCACAGCAATGCAGTCCATAAAGAAATCACACTGCCTTCAAGACTGGTCTATTATATTAACAGAGACTCTGAAAGCCCTTATCATATCTTGGACACAAGGGCAAGACACCAGCAAAAACACAACAAGGTAGGGAGAAAAAAAAAAGCTTGATGTGCAGTAGCTTAAAATGGTAGTGTGTATGACGAAACTGTGTTGCTTCAGATAGCTACCCAGAAGCACTCCAAGATTTCAGAGGTCATTGACATGATTTTTAGGAATGGAAAAAACATGTGATTTAACCAGTGTGGTTTTATTTCTTTTTGCTAATAATCATGGGAGTTGTAAAGATGAGCCTAAACTGGAACTCTAGATCTAAGACAGGATCACAATTCTGTAATGTAGTCCTGTTGGATCAATATATTAGTCATATTAGATTGACTTTATCTGAACTGTGATGCTTCCAGCAGCCCAGTACTCCT